AAACTTATTTCATACAAAACACCAAACTTTGCGATACTTTGCAATCGAAGACATCGTTTATGTGTAACTCATTGGACAATACAATGGGAGACACAGAGACTCTCTGTCAGAGAGAGAGTCAGAGAGACAGGCATTGCATTGAATCACGTGTTTGTGAGACTCAGCCCTAATTTGGAGCACATTTTCAGCGATTATTGGTTATTGTCTTTGCGTTTGCCTTAAGACAAACACTTCTTCAGAGTTACCATTCATTCACACCATCCGATTCGTTGGACCAATCAATCCACGCAAACACACCGCGAGACAAGACATCCGACACAATGACAGCCACTCAGAGCAACGAGAAGTCGTTCAAAGACAAGGAGAAGCCATCGCAGATCAGATCCAGTAATATGATCGCCGCGAAGGCGGTGTCCGACTCCATCAGGACATCGCTCGGCCCCAAAGGGATGGACAAAATGATTCAGTCGGCCAACGGGGACGTGACCATCACCAACGATGGCGCCACCATTTTGAAACAGATGCAAGTGACACATCCGGCCGCCAAAATGCTGGTCGAGTTGTCCAAAGCGCAGGACATCGAGGCGGGCGACGGCACCACCACTGTTGTGGTGATCGCCGGCTCACTGCTGGACGCGTCCCAGAAGTTGTTATTGAAAGGCCTGCACCCGACCCGCATATCCGACGCTTTCCAGTCGGCGGCCAAAGCCTGCGCCGATATACTCGAGTCGATGGCCATTCCCGTCGACATGAAGGACACGGAAGCGTTGACACGAGTGGCGTCGACCTCATTGAACAGCAAAGTAGTGACACAACACTCGCCACTATTGGCGCCGATTGCGGTCAATGCGGTGCTCAAAGTTCGCGATCAGAATTACGTGGATTTGCGGGACATTAAGATCATCAAGAAGTTGGGCGGAACTCTGGACGACACGGCGACCATCGACGGCCTGGTTCTGCCGCAGCGGTTCGCCAACGACTTCGGCGCCAAGAAGGTGGAGAAGGCCCGCATCGGACTGATCCAGTTCTGCGTCTCACCGCCGAAGACCGATATGGATAATCAGGTGATTGTCTCGGACTACACGCAAATGGATCGGATTCTGCGCGAAGAACGCGCTTATATACTGAATATCGTGAAGCAGATGAAGAAAGCGGGATGTAATGTACTGCTGATCCAGAAGTCGATTCTTCGGGACGCGCTCAACGACTTGGCGCTGCACTTCTTGGCCAAAGCGAAGATCGCTGTCATCCGCGACGTCGAGCGCGAAGACATTGAGTTCGTGTGCAAGTCGTTGGGCTGTCGACCGATCGCATCGCTCGATCACTTCACGGCAGACGCGCTGTCGAGCGCCGAACTCGTCGAAGAGATTCCCGGCGCTAAGTTCGTGAAGATATCGGGCATTACGGGTCCGGCGGCTAACAAGACGGTCAATATATTGATCCGCGGCTCCAATAAGTTGATTCTGGAAGAGGCCGAGCGCTCACTACACGACGCCCTGTGTGTCATCAGGTGTCTGGTGTTGAAACCGGCGCTCATTGCCGGCGGCGGCTCTCCTGAGATCGAGCTTTCCCTACGGCTGAGCGAATTGAGCCGATCTCTGGTCGGTTTGGATGCCGTGTGTTATCGCGCGTTCGCCGAAGCCCTGGAAGTGGTGCCCTTCACTCTGGCCGAGAACGCGGGCCTAAACCCCATCTCTACGGTCACCGAATTGAGGCAAAAGCACGCGAACGGCGAGAAGAATACTGGTATTAACGTACGGCTCGGGATGGTTACCAACATGTTGGACGAGAATGTGGTGCAACCCTTGCAGGTGACCCTCTCGGCCATCACTCTGGCCTCAGAGACCGTTAGATCCATACTGAAGATCGACGATATCATCTCAACTGTGCGTTAATAGAAGTATTGAAGTTATTATTATAATTAAATAGTAATTTCTTAATTATTTCTATGATTTTTAATATTGATTGTGTTTTTTGTCAATAAAATTATGAAATAATTCTTTGTTTTTTCGCAATTAATTTAATTATGTTTTTGTGTTATAAAAAATCCTTAATTTCTTTTACTTTTATAATTAAATGCAAAGACTTATTGATATTCAAGAACTAACTTTTTAACCATTGATTGGATGAACAAATTGTATGTTTTTTATTAACGCTTTCAAAGACTAATGAAATGAATAAATGAAAAGAGTTTGATATGTGTTTTGTTTTGACATTCATTTTAATGATAACATTATATGTGATAACATATCACAGAAGTGCCATCAGTGCTGAAGAAGCAAATAAATTATCATACAATTAGTTCCACACATAACGTGAATGCTGTAACTCGAAGACCCGATGGATGTGATGTGAGTCCAGTCTGCAAAGCCGTGAAATACATAGTTATTCACAACTAATAAGCCCTCAACGGATGGGAAGTGATGTCTTTGAGTGACAAAGACTCGCAAAAGTGTTTGAAAAACTTTAATTCAATACATTTTTCTCATTACTTTCAATGCATTTAAGGAAACGTTTTTTGTGTGCATTTGTTTTGTTTATATCAGAGAAATGACTTTGAATTTGTTTTTTAACGTTAAAAAACTTTTAATTACTTTTGATTTGATTCACAATTAATATGAATAACGATAACAAGCGATGAATAAAATCAAATCATTGGTCAGCGCGAGGATAATGTGCGGCACGAGTGGACACAACCATTGCTGTCGGCACTACAGGTCCGGTGGCAGCGGTGGTGGAGGCGTCGGTGGTGTCGGTGCGACCGCTTCTTCGGCAACCATGCGATCGCTGCCAACCGAAGCCAAAGTGATTATCTATGGCAACGACTTGACCGCACTCTCCATCGCCTACCAGTTGTCCCAAAAGGGAAACTTCGGGCCCAACTGTTTGGTCATTACTGGCCAGAAGTCAGACGCCTTATCCGACTCAGACTCACCGCAAGTCAACTCATGTCTACTCAATCACATGATTGTGGCCAACCCTCGGGTCTCCCAATTGATCCAATTCAGTCACCAGCTGTTTGACGTGAACACTACCGGTGCTGTATATGTGGCCCACAATCCGTGGACAGTGGACTCGTTTCGGCGCCGCATATCGTCCTCCAAACTAGTCTTCGCCGACGACTCCGGCGTTAATCTGTTGTCCAAAGAGGATATCGAGCGTCTGTACGGCCAGTATCTCAATTGCGATCAACTTCTGGGCGCTCTTCACGTCCCCAACGATGGTATCATCGAAGACATTGCCGGACAACAGCGCCGGTTACGGGCGTTGGCCGTCGAGAGTGGCGTCCAGTTTGTGGACAATTATCTGTTGAGTAAGATTAAGATCAATAACAATAAGATCTCAAACGTGGAGCTCATCGACTGTCACACGAATCGCGCCAAACGTATTGACTGTCAGTATTTTGTCAACTCTTCCAACAATTACTTGACACGACTTATCGCCAAACGGTGTCCCACAAGAGTTAGGATACCGACGCTCTGCACATACAATCAGGTGATGGTCACGAAGCCGTTTGATGGCCTACACGGCACGGGTGGTGATGGCGGCGGCGATAGTGGTGTTCCCATAATTCATGACTTCGATCAAAGGTTTACCGTTTATCAGACCAGCGATCGCTCCCTATATCTGACCGGTTATGAGAAGGTGTCGAAAATACTTCAGAAAAGTATTGATAGAAAAGTATTGAATTAAAGTTTTTCAAACACTTTTGCGAGTCTTTGTCACTCAAAGACATCACTTCCCATCCGTTGAGGGCTTATAAGTTGTGGATAACTATGTATTTTAAGGCTTTGAAGAATTTGGGACAACTGGTAGGCGATGGAGAGTGCGGTCAAGTCGTTGCCATAGATAATCACTTTGGCTTCGGTTGGCAGCGATCGCATGGTTGCCGAAGAAGCGGTCGCACCGACACCACCGACGCCTCTCTCTCTCTCTCTCTCATTATTTTGTTTCCCAGAAAATATGTCTTAAAACTAATGATTACTTTTATATGTCTTTGTTTTTTATTACAAGTTTTAACCGAAAACGACAGAAACGGAGGAATGAATACAGAAATACCTGAAGTGTATGGAAATTGGGACGATTTCTACCGCATATTGAAGCCAATACAGGAGCGCATTCCGGCGCTAAGCGGCGCCAAACTCCACAAACTGGTGGCCAGACTCGAGAACTTTACGCCCGACGGGCGCTCACTGATTGGCGAAGTGCCCGAAATTGGCAATTACTTGTTGGCCGCGGCGGTGGCGCCCCAATTGGCCGCCGGCGCCGGTCGTCTCATCACCGATATTATTACCAAAAGCGACAACACGTTTGGTCACGATTTTTGGTCATTAGATCCGCGGCGGTTCATACCATCGCAAAGTAATCGTATATTTCTGTTCGATCGGCTCCGGGAGGTGCCGGCGAAGGCCCGCTATAACGTCAACTATCCGGCGCCCCATAACGACTACCAGACCGGTCACGGGTTGCGCACGAGTCCACTGTATCCGCGGTTCAAACAGGCGGGCGCTCTCTTTCAGCAGATCATGGGCTACGAGAGGCCCGCCGTCTATATGGGAGCCGTAGAGCTGGACGACTATCAGTCCGGACTGTCGGACAGCGAGAGCCAATCAAATGAGCCGTTACGGCACAGATATTTGGAAACCCAGTCGTTCGGTCGCCCGCATTGGTTGGATGCCGTGCATCAGGAATACCAGGCGTGTCGGGAAAGGGTTGCACTTCTCGATTACTGTAGTTTCAGTAAACTTGAACTCCGATCGCAGGGCGACGAAGTGGTGGAACTGTTGCAGTACTTGTGCTCTAATGATGTGGACATCAATGTGGGATCAATTGTCCACACGGGTTAGTACACCACAGATATTTGCTTAAGATTTGTAATGATTTCTCTGGTAATGTAATAACTAATGGCGAATACTATGGCACAGGTATGCAGAATGAAAGGGGCGGCTATGAGAACGACGTGTCGCTCTTACGGATGGCTGACAACCACTATATGCTGATCGGACCGACCGAACAGCAATCTCGTTGCATATCGTGGATCAAATCGCATGACTTAGACTCCGTGGTTGACATCCGCGACATATCGGGTCAATACACGACCCTTTGTCTGATGGGTCCGCTCTCTAAGCTAGTGCTGAGCGAAGTGTTGGCCGATCCCTCAGAACTGAACACATTTCCATTCTTCACGTATAAAGAGTTGGCCATTGGTTTGGCGCCAGAGGTTCGGGTCTGCAATCTGACCCATACGGGAGAGTTGGGTTGGGTTCTGTACGTACCCAACGATAACGCCGGACACGTGTACGATATGCTGGTACGGGTGGGCCAGCGGTACGACATGCGACACGCGGGCAGTATAGCGATGCGAACGCTGCGGATCGAGAAGTTCTTCGCCTTCTGGGGCCAGGATTTGGACACAACGACCACACCGTTAGAGTGCGGCCGCGCCTTTCGGGTCAAGTTTGACAAAGACTTTTTGGGCAAACGGGCGCTACTCAGACAGCGGGAGGAGGGGGTGCGGCGCCGGTACGTACAGCTACTGCTGGACGACTTTGACGACAAGTGTCAGGTGTGGCCGTGGGGTGGAGAACCCATATTCATATGCGACCCGCAGTACGACAGCCGCGCGCCAGTGGGTCTGACCACTACCACCGGCTATGGGTTCACTTTGGGCCGACACGTGTGCCTCGGATTCATACGCCATCCGCACAATGAGATCGTTTCAAATGATTTCATATTGAAGTCCAAGTTTGAGGTCGAAGTCGGGGGCAAACGATTCAAAGCCCGAACTAATATCCATTCGCCGAAACTAACGGACGTTTCGGGCACTTATTTGGCCACTCGTTCCGGACCTGACCTCTGATTTGTTGTGATGTATATATTATTTGATGTGAATTATGCCTAATTGTGATTACAATCTAATCAGTTGTGTATTTAAATAGTTATTTACAGTTAAAAATAAATTATTTTTGTTTCGTTAAAATATGTTTGCAAACAATTAAATACATTATTTCAATGATTTAAACAATTAAATTAATTTCTCGCACTTTGATTACAATTAATAGATTTAAATATTTATCACTTAAACCGTTAATTGTATCATAAAATCAGTCAAAATTGTAAACCAAATCTTTTCCAAAGAAGTACTGAAAGTGAATGAAGTTTTGAGACAAACAAAGAGTAGAGGAATGGATGAAATCGATTGGCGAGGAAGTGATGTCTTGTGCGATGACATACTGTGTCTCATATTACGCCGCTTAGACACCAAAGAGTTGTTCCGTTTGCAAAGAGTGTCACAACAGTTCAGTGATTGCTCACAAGAAGTGCTTCGGACGAGACAATCGCTGGCCATTAGACCCATACGAATGGAAAAGTACTCAGAACCCGAACGTCTCTTCAAATCCATCACTGGATCTATTGATTTAGAAGACATCGGTGGTGCGAGTCGCGGCAAAGATTGGAATCAAATGAAACCAATTCTGGAACAGTTTAAATGTCTTAAGAGACTATACCTCCAATTCTGTCGAATTAATTCGGAAGGACTGGAACTGATTGTCAACAGTTCACCGTTTCTTCTGGAGATCTACTTCTTAGGCGTCTGTTTCCCATCAGAGAAGAGAACAGCAACAGAATGGGCACAACTGTTGAAAAATGTCAGACACTTTGTAATCTCATGTCTCGATGAAGAGTTTGTAACTTTTATGGCAGATATCATACGGCAGTTGACATCACTTCAAAATCTGGCGATCTATGGTATGAAGATTTCATCGGATCTACTCGTCGATTGTCTGACAGCAAACATACGGTCATTGAAAGTAATGAGACATACATTTGACACGCAATCCATTCACAGTCTGACCACAAAATGCCAACAATTGGAAGAATTATCACTCAGTTCTCACATCGAGAAAGACGACGAGATCAGTGAAGACAATGCATTTGGCGAATGGTTTCTCATTATTTGCAATCGTCTAAAGAATCTCAAGAGATTAACCATTCCTTTGGGAGATATTTCCTGCGAAGAGTTTGCGAAAAACATCGCAAAATTACATCAATTGAGACAATTGGCCATTGAATCACATCCAACTGAACCGATGCTCTTCGACACCAATTCGATGACTGAATACATGAATCCATTGACAACTCTTCGATCACTTAATCTGTATGGCATCGAGTGTTCGCCCGAAATGATGGCAAATATAGCAGAAATTGTCCCAAATTTGCGCCATTTATCTCTGAATGCTATCAATTGTCACATCGATTGTCGGGCTTATAATCATTCGGACTCTAAAGAGTGTCTAAAGGGCTGTTTCGAGACATTTATGAATCCAGTGGCAAATCATCCGAAACTTAAACGCTTGACTCTCGGCAACGAAATGGACAGAAAAGACAATATCGATGTCTTCAGCGCAATACATTTGTTCGTACACTTGGATCAGCTCTGCCTTCATCTAGATATCAGTCACAGCAAAGAAGTACACAAACTGATGGCCAAAAGTCTGGCCAATAGGAGCCAAGTCTTCCGATTGGGTCTAATCTCTGAATACAAGACAAGAATTTTGAGTGAATTGGAGGAAATGAATGTTCAAATACCGAAATACTTATCGATCATTGATTGCGGACAAAAAGCTCAACACATGTCCTCTAAAGTGAAGATATCTTCGGCACAAAGTAGTGAATCCTAATCATTGAATCACTCATTTTAGATACAATTGAAAGTGATTTTTTTGACACAAAACCTATTGTAATCTCAATTTTAAAAAAGTTTTATTCAATAAAAAGTTTATGAAATACTGTATTGTTTTGTTTGAATTAATGGTAATTAGAAAAAATGATAACAAATTTGCGTTAATTTAGTTTAATTTCCATTTTGTATTCAAAATTCATATAATCTATGAATAAGTCTTGAAAAGAAACAAAAATGTGAATCAAATAAACTTTATTTTTATATTAAATTACAAATTAAGCATTTAATGTCTTCGTATGAAAGCGTTTGATATGACTGTGAAGATTGGCATTACTGGCGTAACTATAGCCACATCCGGGCCAATGACAGACATACGGCTTAAGATTGTTATGGATGTACTCGTGCTCTACCAGAAAGGACTTACGTGTGAACCGTTTGCCACACTCTGGCCATAAACACGGGAACCGCTTCTCACCCGTATGTAACCACTTATGTCGGGTCAGTTGAGTGCCCGCCCACTCACATCCCGGCCAATCACAGCGTTGTATCGGATGATTCTGTTTAGGCAACGGTTTTTGGCCGTGAACTTTGGTCTCGTGTGTCCGCCGACGCCTATAACTCGCAAACACTTCACTACAGCCATCGATAGTGCACTTAAACTGCGCGGGCGTTGGGCTGTGAACTGTCTGCCAGTGATGTCTAAGACCACAGCGACTCTTGAATGTCTTCAGACAGTCATTGACTGAGCATTCAAATGATGTGTTGTCTGTCGTGTGTGTCTTCATATGAGATAACAACCGATTTCTATTTTTGGCGAAGAACTGGCAGTCATTGTAATCGCATTTAAACGGCTTATCACTCGTGTGAACCACTGAATGACTTTTGAGGAGAAACTTAGACTTAAACTCTTTGCCACAACCAATGGATTCGCAGATAAATCGTCGGTCGGAATGGTATGCTTTCAAATGCCACGAAAGTGTCTTTCTTTTAGGGTAACTCTTGTGGCACTCATTGATAGGACAAATCCATCTCTTTGTCTTCACATCAAAACATTTCTTCATTTTCGACGGGTTTTGTCGTAATAATCGAGTCATCGCTTCCTCTGAATCCGGTTTTGTCACCACTTCTTGTCTTTCATTGCTTTTCCTTCTCTTCGTTTTGACATAACTATCATCTGATTCTTCACTCATGTCTTCGGCATAACTCTCATCCGAGTCTTCGTTTAATTCATTCAATTCTTGAATTACTTTTCGTGTTTTACATTTTCTTCTCAATTGTCTGCCATTTGATCCACTCTTGAGTGGAAAATCGGATTCACACTTCACGTGATTGACATCTGAAGTGATATTCTTGTCATTCAATTGATCCAATTGTTGAGATAATGTCCGGAAGTGTTGATTGTCTTCTGAATCGATAAGTGTTTCATATTTTGAGTGAATTTTAATTAAATGTGTTTTCATTTCATCTAAACATTGGNAGATAATGTCCGGAAGTGTTGATTGTCTTCTGAATCGATAAGTGTTTCATATTTTGAGTGAATTTTAATTAAATGTGTTTTCATTTCATCTAAACATTGGATTTCATGTAAAAGTCTATTGTTTTCAGACAATAATTCATCCAAAATATCATTTATACTAATAATTGAATCCATAATTGAATTCAAATCACATTTAAAACTAATTCACAATTAATTTGAATACAATTTAAGTCCAAAACTAAACAACAATTTTGTGTCAAAAATGTAAACAAAACTCAAAACATATGAGAATTAAAGGGAAATTCAATTCATTGCAAAACAAACTAATGTTTGAATCGTTTCTGTGTTTGAGTCGAAAAATGGGATAAAAATTATAACAAATATTTTATTTTTTAATTTATATTAAAATTATATAAAAGTAATCAAATTATTATAAATATTTTAATATACAATACATTTAAATCATTACAAGTGATGTTTTTATAACAATTTTATTAATTTAATTATCATTAATGAGAGAGAGAGAGAGAGAGAGAGAGAGAATACAGTGTAACGATAGTTATATCTGTTTTAGTCAAACAAATGCAAAGACTTATTGAATAAATTTTAAAGCAATTGAAAGGGAAATAAAAATAAACAAAAAAGTTATTTATAGACAAATCGATAGTTTTGTTAATTAACAGTAAATGCATTGAATAATAAAATGGTTTGCAAATACTTTTAAGCATTAGTTAACATATATTTTGTAATTATCATAATTAAAATTTTTATTAATTCTGTGACACGAATGCAATGTTTGAATATTATATTCTGTGTTTGAATTGATTGCATAAACAATTAGTTTGCAAATGTTTTATTTATCAAACACTTGAATTTGAACCCAATTCTAGGCCAACACCTAATTATTTGTGATTATTATAGACTAAATTTATATATTTTGTATGTATTGTATAATTAAAATATTTAAAGTTTTTATACACAATTTTACAAAATACTTTAAACAAAATTAAACTAGTTTTTACTTTTAAAAATTATAAATTATAAGTAATAGCACTAAATTAAATGCAAAATCAAATTATTTATAAAAAGTTTAATATTTATTTCTGATTTAATTTTACCGTACATTTCACTCAACAATAATAATAATATATAATAATCAGATTTACAATAATATCAATTAAGTATTAATGAATTGAAAATATAATCAACAGAAAATGAATTGGTATTGATTTTGTTGTGTATATATTTTACAAATATATATAACATTCATAGTATATAAAAAATTATGAATAAATCAATAAGAAATACAATAAACCATATCTTGTTTTGACATAAAATTGTTTCCACAAAATAGTCCTAATATTTGTCCGAATATTCAATAAAAGCCACTTTTTTACGGCAAATAAAAATTTCCAAAGTATTGAATGTGTAATAAGTATTGTGTTATAAAAAACGAGAAAATATGAGATAAAAAACAAATATTTTGTGTGATTTAAGCGTTGGGTTCGACGGGAGCCGATGTCTGACCGACTTTCGGACCGACAGTAGTCATAAAACCGCGAAACAATTCCATTGGTATCTAATTATAAGTAAAATTAAAAATTAAATTTACAAATAAAACCAAATATAATGTGAATGAATGGCAATATTAAACCACAAATCTTGGTATTAAATCAAAGACAGTGTACTGACCGGGAAAATAATTGTGGAATTCTTTTCGGCGGCGATTGAGTTGAGTGTCTGGAGATACCGGAGCTGAAGAGCGGCCGGCGATTCGCTGATCACTTCGGCCGCCTCTTTGAGGGCACGCGCGGCGTTTTGCTCGCCC